ATCAAAGGTACTTGGATGGGAAATTATGAGAATACTCTGGTAGGGTAAAACTACAAAAATACCCTTATGTTGTAGGATGACAAGAATTATCCCTGGAAGTTGGTTAATAACTCTGAAATGACATATTGATATGATATAATTATTGATGTGCATAATAAATGCTAGTTTTGGTTAGGAAATACAGATAACCGGTTTTTAACCCCAAGAGGGTTATGGGAAAGAATCTAGAAGTCTGTTAAAGAATCATTTCAAGATCAGAGAATGTTCGGAAAAGAAATTAATCATGGGATCTCTAAATTTTTGTTACGAGCTAATATTGAAATTATCTGGTTAAGAAATTACGACCCTTGAGAGGTAAAATAGTATGAGTTGACCCTGAATGAGAAAGTACTTTAAGAATTTGTACTTAATTCGATTAAGTATGAATTTAATTGTTAAGATCCATAGTTAGTGCAAAAAATTCTTAATATTTCGTTGGTAAAAATCTGAGAAGGCACTTGACCCGAAAATATCCGAGTTATGAGTAAATATCTGAAGAACAATTTATCGGAGGACGCTCTTTTATCAGAATTGTTCGAAGAGACTGAAATAGATGATAAATTGGAATTAAATAATAAGATAGGATGTAAGAAAATGATTGAAATACATCGGATCTGTAGAATGACCAAAATACCCCTGTAATGGAAATGACCTAAGAATACCACCAAGCTCAGGAATTATTGGTTATCCTCGAGCTCTGAAATGAATGGAATAAAACTGAACACCAAAATTACCAAAATTCCCCTATAGCCTATACTAAGTAAATATCTTGGATTAATTAAGGAATTCAAATAAGCATATGTGTGAGGCAACCATTAAAAGTAATGGAGCACAATTTAAGTGAGTAGATCAACCATAAAGCTATGTAAATACCTGAATGGCATAGATATTACTGGAATGTGCGTTCGTCTTCTCAAGTTTGGCTCGATGATAAATTTTGGAAATATTCAGCTCAACTCTAGATCGCATTCAGTACTAAGAAATGGATGTTTGTTCAACAAATCAACCACGAAGACCGAATTGAACTAAACAGAAGTACAATATGTATCCGAAATTCAAAAACGTCTGAATTACTCTTGAAAACCCCGAAGTAACTGGAATGGACTTGACAGCTAAATAATCTAAGTAACCTCAATGACTGAGGATTAAGTAAGTGAATTGGATAAGTCTAGAAATTCTGATGATTTTATAAGATGTATTCTCCTTATGGAACATGAACTACAAATCAAGCACGTCAGTATTTCATGATATCGTGGAAGCTTGGAAATGAAATAAGACCATTGGAAGATCTATTCAACGAAGATATGAATAAGAATTTGTTGTATTAAAGAGTAAATACCCTAAAGGAAAATGAATTGACAAGTGGACATGGATTGTTAAAGGTTCTGAATCTTCGTTCTCAAGTTGTTCGATTATCCGATCAATTGACATGGATGTGAAGGATTCTAAATACCCTTCTGATTACGTACAACTTCTGAAAAATGTCCGAATAAGATATGATCCAGATAATTCACATTCTGAATAACTGCTGATTCTGTCAGTTAATGAACTTTTCCAATATTATTTCTAACTTTCGGTATTTTATCGGTATACTGAAAATTCGTGTTTCTCGGCCTGCTAAGATTATTCAGTACCTCTAAATAATATCCGTAAACTCTGGCGTGTTCCCTAATCATATGAATATTTTATCTGGTTGTCGATTTGAAATATGTTCTGATTTCTAATTCGAATTATGTTCTGATTTTTGATCTGGATTCTGTTATGATATATGATATATGATATATGATATGAATTCTGTTTTGATTTCTGATATCTCCATTTATTGACGGAAAAATATTTTATTTGGGGGTATTGTTGGAGGAAGAAAATATGAAAGCTCTTCGACTTTGTGCTCAAGGCCTAACTATTGTGCCGGAGTTGTATAGTTCTGGGGAACCTACACATTATGATGTGTTCGGTTGGGGAATTTACTATGGTTTTTGATAAATGTTTTATTTGGGGGGTTATTGTTGGAGGAAGAATATATGAAGGCTCCTCAACTGTGTGCTCAGGGCCTTACTGTTGTGTCTGGGTTGTAAGGTTTTGGGGAATCTACACATTATGGACGTGTGCGGTTGAGGGAATTAATATGATTTCTGAATGTTTAAAAAAATTATGTTTTAAAAAAAATTTGTATCTTTTCACTGGTTTTGCGGGAACACACTAGATAACCTATTCTGATCTCATGAATCTAAACATCCGAAATATTTCTCTGAACTGGAAGCTCATTGTCCGTTACCACCTGAAATATCAGTAAGATCTCCGCTCAATATAAAGGTATGTAAATGTATGGATCATTAAGAAAATATATGTTTATTTGTATATGCATGTTCTTCAGCATCATATGGTAGTTTTGTATTACTGAGCTTTCCGAAGTTCACTCTATTACTCAACATTGCAGGTTAAAAGAATTGTACCAATGCAACTATCGACTTCAATAAGGGAGTTTTCCTGCGTTGTTTGCAGAGTATGGTACATGTGATTAGGGGGCATGTAATTGTATTTTGGTTTATATATATGAGTTTGAAAATCTGTTTTATTTCTGCATACTGATAACTGATTTTATAAGTTTACATGTTCTGATAAAAAGTTTTAAATTTTCTGCTATTTTTATAGTGGGTCGCTCCGGTGGCCCTAATGTGACAACCTAGATCGGATCGGGTTACCCGTATCGGTCTGGGGGTTACAAGGATTTTCTTATTTTGAGTGGAAAATGGGCGATATTTTAGGAAAAATGGCACTTTTAAGATTAGGGTTTGAAAATTTGGGGAAATTGGATAAGAGGCCTATTTGTATCCCCTGGCCCTTGCGCATCAGTACGTTCATTAGTGTGTATCAATATACATTCAGTAATTCATATCGGTACATCCCATATTGATCCTTGATGTATCGTACCTATGCGTTATTTTTCAAACAAAATCTAGTAACCAATTTTTGTAACGGTACGGTTCGAGTACCGATATGGTTGAACTCAGTACATCAGTATAGTGAAATGCATAATACATGTATGCCTTACCTACGTATTTGATCATTGTTAATTTTGGTATTATTCATTGGTTAAGTAATTAAGTTTTGGTCTTAAACTTTTATATTAGATACTTATTAGATCATTGTTAATTTTAAAGTTAGGTAATAAGATTTCCCTTGTTTAAGAGTCTTTAGTAAGCGAGTTGATCATAAGTTAAATAGTACTCAAACCGATACTTGATAAACTCCATAAAATTTTGCTCAACTCATGCTCTTTATGATTATGTTTTCATATTGACAAGATTAAACAGGCTAATTAAGGCATAAATTGATAAGAACTTATTTGTTTGAGAACCAAACTTATTGGAACAATCATATACTAATACATTATGCTCATTTACATATACAAATATCTATTCGTATTTGACACTCGTATTTGAATCCAAAGGCCAAAAAGATTTAAGATTGGATACTTTTTTCATTTAAATCCAACTATCATTCAAGATAAAAAAAGTAAGGTCAATTAGGTAATTACAAATAACCTGAATTTCCAATGTGTTGCAACAAAACGAAGAAAATCACATAACACCGTGCGAATAACATAACTAAACTAAATCTCTCAATGAACACATAAAAGAAGGAACATCGCAACCCTCATCCATCATGTGGTAGTTGCTTTGAATTTTGATATTTTATCGAGGCACGCTTGACCTAGTCTTATTTATCATGAGAGCGAAAAAAATCATAGAAATTAACATTAGCAATCACTATAACAACAAAACTAAAAAATATTTTTTAAGTAAATGAATCACTAATAAAACTATTTCTTAACTTATAAGAGTAAAGAGTATAATTTTTCAACGAGACCGCACAAACAAATCCTTATTTGGTTGCCAATCCAAAATAGATGTACCTTTTTCCATATTTTTCAATTCTTTAGTATATGTAGCCTGCGAAACAAATATTATCAATATGCATAACAGCAAAGAGTAATTCTTCCTCATGTTTCAAGAACTATAAGATCGCCAATTTCAAGAGTCTCTCCGCTTTTAGTGGTTCTCTTTTTACATCCCACTTTCACCGCTTATAATTTGAGAATCATTTTTACAAATTGATCTTTAACCTCATTGAAAGTTATGAATTTATGTGATGCACGGTGACATATAGTCATACAATAAAAGGATAGAGTGGAATATATGGCTTAAATTGTTATCGGATTACTATCTTCTACATATGCGTTCTTATTTTGTTATCCAGCACATTTCTTCACATAAATAGTCCATTATTTCATTATACATCTTTGGGTATTTCTTTTGTCTTTTCATATTTCAACATGGCAAATATATGACGACATGGAAATCCAACGAACTCCAACTTCATTCAACAACAATAAATGGCATCATGTGTGGTATTTTTAAGTACAAGATACAACTTCTCCTTTTAAACGTGATCTAACCAATAACACATGCACATATTCTACACTTCCATTTTTTAACCAAATAATAACCCTCATTGGACATTTCTTTGTACAGTGTAGCAAAAGCATTTCTAGTATATACTTGGGTTGCATTACGTTTTAAAGTTGTGAATACACTGCCATAATACGATTGTTCATCCATTATTTTGTAGTCTTGATGGCAATCCTCCCATCTTCGATATTGCAGTTGTCTACGATAGTTCTCAACAAATCGATACAACATTACCTTTATGTCTAACCAAGTTTTCAATGTTCTATTCATTGACTCGCACCATTGAGTAGTCCTCATTGTTGCACACCAAAATGTTTAATAATTTAGTTAATTACAATAAATAAATATAATATTAAATACAATTAATATGTATATAATGTTACCTGCATAAAAATATCCTTGCAAATATGCTTCTTCTCACTTCTCTTTATCTTCATATAATTCCTGTACCCATCTCCTTTCTTGAACTTTGTGTTTTTCCACTAATTATTTCCAATCCCTTTCAAAATCTGATGGCGTTCTACACTTTTCAGCACATCTAAAAAATCCATCGTGAAAACTGTGTTGAGCATTAGACTGTACATTCCTTATTGGATGCCATATACGCAATCTATGTTTTGTCCCACGTAGTACTTCAAAAATGGCATTTTCCATGGCCTTATCTCTATCAGTAATAACAATGAGTGGTATGTAGCCATCTCCCACCTCAATCAATTGTTGTAACACCCACACATAGGTACCCTCTTTCTCATTCACAACCAATGCACATCCAAATGGCACTGTGTTTTGATGATGATTAACACCAACTAAATCAACAAATGGCTTGTTGTATGTGTTGCACTTGTAAGTCATATCAAATGCAAGTATGTGCCTGAATTCTTTATAGTCAGCGTGTGATATACCTCTCACCATAACAACTTTTTTAAGTTTCCAAATTGATCCCTCTTGTGTCTCACAAAAAAGATCATATTTTTGCTTTCCATATAAATACCCCATCATCGTTTCAACATCACCATCTTGCACTTCTTCTCATTTGATTCTATATAGATAATTGTATAAATCCTTAGGTATAAATCCAACATTCTTAATTGAATCATCTTCATTCACTAAATATGGCATCATCTTACTTAATGTTATTCTAGAGTTGTGCATGCTCTTAATCTTAATTTCGTTTAACTCACTAATTTTTGAATTAACCTACAAAATAATTCATTAAAGAACATTATATATATATAAGCTAGAAGTTAGCATGTAAGATTTTACTTTTGGATGAATTACATACTTGATGTAAGCAATTTGTGTTGGCTGAACCATTTCATGGTTATGTTCTTCGTGGAATTTAACAACTTTCCAATATTGATATCGTTCATCCAATTTGAATCTAATAAGTGCTCCACATCCAACTCTGATGGCTGGTCTTTGTTCATGTTTTCTATTTGGAAAGTTAATCCACCTTTCCTCTCTATATCCCTCCTTATGGTACACCATTTTCTTTGGAATTATGTGACCTTCATTTCGAATTTTCACTGTTTGGTTGACTCAAACTCCAAAATCTTTCACTTTTGCATAGATATGATAAAATTCAATGCAATCATAAAAGTCTTCCACTTCAGCATATTCATATCATTCTCATCGTAATCTTTTAATTCTTTACCAATCTTGTCTCATATGCTTTCGTCAATGAAGTAGTCATTTGTCTTCTCATCATCTATATGTTTGTCATCATCAACGGGATAATCAGTTTGTTCTTCTTTGGTATAACTTTCACAATCTGATTCACTGATGTAACCATCTTTATCTTGATTTTGGCAATCTTCATCCTGATTTTAACATTAAAACTCTTTAATTTGAATTTGGTATCTTCATTACCAATCGTATCGAAAAAAATCTATTTTTAAAAAAATTTACAGAAAAAGAAACATTATTATAATGGTGAATGACTTGATAACTGAACTTAACACAAAATTCTAAAATTCAAATACAGCGTACAAGTACGGTTAACTAGAGTATCAGTACGCCTTTTGGAAATAATTTCTAGTGGCAAATATTTTTATCAATACGCATCCAGTACCGATACTCGATTACCTGCATATTGATACACCTGAAACAGCATACCGATATGAACTGAGGGTTTCAATTTGGGAATTCAAAATTGAATTTAGAAAATAAATGGTGGCCACTATACACGGTTAGTCACAACCACTACCGATGAAGACGGCGATTGTTAGTAAAAGCCACCTAAATCTGAAATAAAATAAAAATAAAGAAAGATTGTCTTACCGGATTGGATGTGCAGACGACAGTCACGCAGAGAGGGAGGAATGACAATGACTACCTCACCGATGGAAGAGGCTAATGGTGATGGCGACTTCAATGGCAAGGAAAAAATATTTAGGGTTTTTTAATTTAGGGGTTGGTATTTGATCCAATTATTGATAAAAATTTATGTAAAATAATTTAATTAATATTTATTTTAAATAATTTACCTTTAGATTTTTAACTAATTTATAATTATAAGTTGAGTCCTTTATAATTTTAAATTTTTATAAATTAAATTAATATTGCTCAGCGGTGCTCGTCTAGCTTTGTAGAATTTTCCATTAGTAAAACAATGTTTTAAACGCATAAAAGTTAGGATAAACGTTTTTGTCTCTTATGCCTTAGATTAACACACTAAATCAATTAAAAGTGTGTTTCTTGATATTACCTCTATATCCATAAAAGAAACAAACCGAGTTTCTTGTGAATGATTTTCAGTAGATTTTCGTCTTTCGTCGCAACATAGACAATAATAATTATTATCGTAATAACGTTTAACAGCAGTTGGAAATTGATTCTAAATTGTTAGAAAATAAACTACAATAAAACAAAGCATTAGCATTGATTGTAAAATATAAAACGAAATATATAAGCAAAGAACCAATCAGATGTGTCGTGATATTAACTACTGCATTAGACATGAATTTGTCTTGATGTGTGTAATCGCTACAATAAACGACTGACCCTCTCCGAGATTTGCAAGACTCTCCAAATTTTGTGCACCAGAAAGATGGAACGAACTTTGATGATATTGCTCTTCTCTTAACTCAAAACAACATTCACAAAAAGATTAAAGGAAGTGTTTCTAAAGAAAACAATTATTTTGGGATAACTCAAATAAATGAAATTATTCACTATTTATAGGTTAAATAGTAAGAACAAAATCATTATTTCTAAAGTACAATTTAATTCTATTTAAAAGAGAATTAAAAGACATTTAGAAATAGATTACAATTTGAGCAACAATAAATCTTTTGGAAATTATTGAAGACCAACTATATATGAAACGGCTATAAATAAAGGCCTATCCAAATGATTAATAGTTTCCAATGCATAGTGAGGAAGGAATTTGGACTTGCAGAAAATATGGAATAGAGTTTGAATTCGAGTTTGATTAATCTTTGAAACAAATATATAATGTTTGTGATGTAAAACATGCATGATGCGTATAGTCAATAGATATGATTGGTAAATAGATATGATTGGTAAATTTATTTCGAATATCATGCCTTTTCTTAGATGAAACCAATATAATTTAGGGTAAATTATTGTTTAGAACCTAAACTATCAGTTTTGGTCTATTTTAGTATCTAAACTTTTATTTTTTTTAAATCATCTATAACATTTAGTTTTTGTTTTATTATGGGTATATTACATCATTCATCACTCAACTATCTTCTCATTCCTATTTTGGAACTAAAGTTTAAAACTTTTCAATTTAACCACTCAACTTTCAAATTGCTCCTATTTTAATCACTCTAATTTATTTTATTAAATTTTTTTATGACATTTATTATTATTATTATTATATTAATATATAATAAAAATTAAAAAAAATTGAAAGTTAGAGTGATTAAATTAGGAGTAATTAGCAAATTAAGTAATTAAATTTTTTTAAAAAAATTAAACTTTAATGACCAAAATAGGAGTGAGAAGATAGTTGAGTGATGAATTATACAATTTCCCATAAAAATGTGTCATGTGCAAATCGCCCATTAAGTTTTTAATAGCGAAGTACTAAAAAAACTAAATGTTAGGTATGATTTTGAAAAAAAAATAAAAATTTAGCAGAACAAAACTAATAGTTTAGATACTAAACGCGTAATTTACCATATAATTTATGAAGCTAGATTGTAGCAAAATATATAATTGGTTTTAAAATGATTTTAAATATTCTTTTCCTTAAACAAAAGTCGACAATGGCAAATATATTTTTGAAAAATTAACTTCGATGCCACATGACATGCAACAAATTACCAAATTTTGGAAAGAAAATCTTTCAACGAAATATAAAAAAATGATATTGAAAAGTATTTTGATAGTTTCTTTTGATATATCATAACTCAACGATGTTTAACACTTACAATTAGAAAAAATCAAAGAAATTTGGTTTAGTTTGTTTTGAGTTAAAAATATATATTTTAAGTTGAGTTTAATATTTAAATTATTTATGCTTAGATACAAAAGAACACATCAAATGACAAAAAAATTATATAAAAAATTCATAAATATATAACGAACTAACAACAAAAAAGAGGAAGGACAATTATATTATACATGTCAAGTTGTTATTCGAAAGATTAATGTGTTCAAGAGAAATCATATTTCCAATAATTGGTTGAATTGTACCCAAAATAAATGCGTTAAAACAGTCTGATGAAATAATTATGTTATGTCTTGATGAGTATAGTAGTGTGATTGAATATCTTTATGTTTATATTTTTAAAATTTAAGTAATTTTATTTGTTTCGCAACTAGAACTAGAACTGTTTTTTTTATTAAACTGAGGTGATTACAAGATAATATATGTTATAAATATTCTATGCTATTTAACAATAAACGCTAAGACACTTTTGTGTTCGAACATGGGACCTTTAGGAACAACAATCATCCATTTAACCACTAAAGTAGCTTGATTCGTGCAACTAGAACTATAACTTATATACTCTATTTGTCTCGTATTAAATAATATGAAATTTATGAATACGTACAATTGGTTTAATGGCCTCCACATCCTATTGCAGGCAACAACATTATATTAAAAAAACATCAAGCCACTCTTATATTGCCTCTACTTTAGTTTGGTAAGAGTTACCCTTATATTGCCTCTGCCACTGCTTGAATCGACTCCTTACAAGGCACTCTCTAAGGGATCCTTACAAAGCACTCCTTATATTGGTTTAGTTGTATACTAGTAATGGCCACATGGTTACAAGGCACTCTCCTTACAAGTCATTCTCTAAGGGATTGTTACAATGGCTCGATGTAAGAGTTTTCTATTTCGGAGTATGCAAGTGTGAGACTGATGATGAATTAAATCCTACTTAACTCACTCTAAACCATGTTCCGTTGAATCCTAATATGCTTCTTGAAGTAAACAGTGTTAGAAATGACATCTATGCCGATGGTGCATTGACCCTTTTAAAAAGGGACCGGCTAGACAAAAAATTGAAGAATCCACTTTTATGAGCACGGATAGCATAATGCTAACGGGGAGTGTGCAGTTTGAGGTTTTTAATAAGGATGTCTTGATGTAATACAATTCAACATCATATTTAACCTTGCATCTTCAACCTTTCATAATAATCAAAGGGGATTTTCTCTAACTTATTCTTTCTCTATACCATAGTTATGATAATAGTTTACATACATTACATTTATAGTTATGATGATGCTATTATGTGATGTATGAAGTTACTATTATGAATCACATCTTTATACGTTTATTACTTTTAATACTTAGCTTATATTATGCTTTCTTTTGTAGGTACATACGCAACCACATGATGGGAGCTAACTTAAGCTAACATTGGAGTCCAAGAGCTATGGAAACATGACTAGGACAATTCTAGGACAACTCAAGATCAATTTTGAGACAAAGTTGTCAGCTACCCTCCGAGGTCGTAGTAGACTTGAGCTGAACTTTTAAGCTAGCTTGACATCTCATTTCAGCTGGA